TCGTTCAATTCGGTATAGTAGATAAATTGACAAATAATTGCGAAGAAATAATTTCTAATCGTAAGATATCGTTTTCACTTAATTATCGCGGCAGAGATTATTTTCACATTTTGCGGCGTGCGACACTCTTTTCTCAGCGTTCTCGATAAATTACTTTTAGGAAGTCAAGGAAAGCAATCAAGCGAAATGGTACAAGAAAATGTACGACTCGTTACACCGCGCGGATAAAAACGGTAAGTTCTCTCATTGTAACATTACGAGCGTTCGTTAGTTACAGTTTTGCGCGAGAAATAAACGGCTGTTTGCATTCTTTTGTCACGTCGCGTACATAAAGAAAGGTGATATTATTATTTGCGGAATAACACAAAGGAATTTAATATTATTTAAATAAATACGTTGTTTTTGAATAATAATAATAATCCGCACGTTCATAAGCATTTAATTATCGCAGAATTTCACGATTTTGTTTTCAGATGACTACGTAACCATAAAATACAAATCGAGGAGAGGTGAATATGCACTTCCGCGCATGACCACCGTGGTGGTCGAATTACGACATTGCTACTAATATTACACCAAGCGTGGGTTGCATAACGCAGTCGCTGGCTGAAATTTGTGTAACAACAGCGTAACTAATATCTACAGCAAAATGCGGCGAGAATTAATTCTATTAATTCTATCCGCGAAATCGTAGCGCGTGAGAACGCTATTGTTGTAAACCAGCTGTCGTATAATCATCTTGATCGCCTGTTTTCGATAATCATCACTGTTGATGCTCACCATTTAACATTTTGTGCGTAAAAAATAGTAATAAACGAATTGTGACAAGTATGTAAAATAGAAGCTATTCCCTTGCGATCTTAACATTGTTAATTTGGTTGATGATTAATATTTCTCTCGACTGTATAATCATTACCCTTAATTTGTATTTCGACTAATTTAGATACTCAAATCGGAATCCGAGATTCGTTTCAGAATTCGAGAATCTCGGAAAAAGGAGCTCTTATCGAATATATTAAGCCAAGTCGGAACGACTTCCCGAGTTGGTGTAAGTTCTTCGCTGTCGTGGGAACTTCTTGAGATGATTTGAAGTTCTCACGTCCGATTTCTTACGAACTTTGTCTTTAAATTGCTTCGTATGTATCACGTCGATTTTGCTCGCGGCAGAATTTTCATTCAAGTTACATTTCTCTTACGGAAGAATTAATGAAATTAATTGCAAACTGACGTAGCATTCGATTTTCAAGTTGAAGAGCTCGATATTTGTTTCTCAAATATTGTGTATAACAATAAGTGTAACACAATATAATGCGTGTAATGCGTGTGTATGTGTGATATTTCTAGTGTAACACTGTAGAAACTAAACCAAGGCAAACGTCGAACTGTTTGCGCTGTTAATTGAACGTTATTTGGTTACCGCTGGATTTTTTTGTTGGAAACTAAATGCGAGCTCTCTCGGATTGAAATCGGCTGGAAACAAAATGCGAAATGCGAAACATTTCTGTTTCAGGAGGGAGGTATGGATACGGAAGCAGCAGTGGATATTTGAGCGAACCGGAACCGCGCGCATACTCGGATCGATCCGTTACTCTCGATAGCCGCCGACGGCTGCGCAACAAAGAAAATGACTTTACCACGGCGACTATGCCCAGAAAGTAAGCGAGAATTCAGAAACTTTTCCCGCTTGTTTTTACCAGCCGCTCGAGAAGTCTCGAAATCGTTCGAATTCTCTGCCTCTTTTCGATTTTTATTTCAATCAAATTTTTATCGCGCGCGTCAAAAGAAACGAACTGTATCACAGAAACTGGGATCTGAAATATGAGTCTCTTTGTAAAGAAAAAAAAGACATCTATCACAAAGCAATGCGCTTTTCCGCTTCAGGAATGGGGCGCTGAAGTACTCGACTGACATTTATAAAAATCAGCCCGGCCGCATCGAGGACTATGAACCAGGGCGCTCGTCGATCGCCGAGAAGGAAACTAAAGAGGTGCGTATCTTCTGTTGCTCGTAATTCGAGATTAGACGAAACCTGCCTGTACCATAAATTGAAGCGCACTTTCCCATAACATCGAAAAAAGATTCGATCATGAGACACCGTGTAGAATTTATCAGCTTTATCCGAAGAGAAACGATTGCTAGAACATTCAGTCCTTCTGGCAGTAAAATAATTTTGCACCGATAGCCTCGGTTAACTAACTATATTGATTAATTAAGTGATCAATTGAATGAATTTAATTCAAAAGTAATATATAAAAATTATTGAGTGTTTAATATCCCGTGTAGAATTTCATTGTAAATATATTTACGGAAAGCAGAGTTTAGTTAACCGCGGTTTAAATGATCATTGGTGCAAACGCTAATTTAATCTCGCGAATCTGATTGAACGCGTAGTATATCATCTTGCTATCGCCCGATATATTTCGCGCGAGCGTGACAACCAAAATGATTGTAAAAGAATCGCGTGAGGATGTTTTTTTTTTAATTTTCTTATCGCGACGCGCGCGGCCGCGAGACTCTTCCGAAAGTTTCCCAAGGAACCCGAACACACACCTGGAACATGATCGTTTGAAATGGCTTTGCTTCTAGCCGACTTACGACACGCGGACGAGAAGGAAGGTAATCACGTCAATCGAACGAAGTTAAAACGAAGTTGCTTTTTGCCGGCCAGTTTATACGTTTCCTTCCGTTTATTGAGAGCTTTTCTGTTGGCGTCACGAAATAATTAATTGCGAGCTCTTGCTCTCGCCACCCTCGAGGTGGTTATTCCGTTTCTTTAATACACATACATATGCACACACGTTCACACACATAAATACGTACATACATACATCACAGCGCAAATACAGTCTTCACGTACAATACAAACTAAGCACGCACGTGTGTTCAGGACGCGCAGAGGCCCTCGAGGGAAGCTAAAAATAATAGCAGAGTAATTTTCTGTTATCCTTCGAGCGATGAGAATCTCTCCTCTCGAGGCACTCTACGCGGTTCCGCGTAGTACAACCCCGTTGATTTTCACACGCAGCTTTTGTAGCAACGCTTGTAGTTAATCCTATGTTTAAATATCACGTCGATCTCCATCTGAAATCGAGACGCGGAGCAACGAGAAGTTTCCGAGTAATTTTCGACATTTTCTTTCGTACTTTGTTTTATTTAAAATCAATATCTCTCTTACAGCTCTCTTACAATTTATTTTCGGAGTCTCAGACGTCTCGTTTTGCGCGACGTTAGTTAACGTCTTCTTATTTTAGATGGAAATCGGCGAGAAAATCTGACTATTGATTTATTCCCCCTTTATTTGAACATCTAAATGTTCCAATAACCCCTTCTAAATAGCGCATAGTATAACATTGTGTTTAATTCTGTGATTCTAGTGGTGGGACGAGGTCATGGACATATTTGACGGGGTACGCCATTTTTATATTAATGCGTAGTTAAATAAGAACTCTCTCTATCCCCTTCGCTCTTTCCCCCCCTCCGTGCTCTATCTATTATCACTGGTACTCTCTTCTATGTAGATGGTAAGACTCAATTAAAATTAACATTTTCCATTACTTCGGAATTAACTCGGTAGCATTGCCTCGAGGGACCTTGTAGAATATCTCGTTTCTACATAAATCTCTTTCTTTTTCGCCTCGAAGAATTAGCCGTAAAATCAGAATCGCGCCAAATCGGAGGATGTTATCACGTTTTTTTTTTTTTCCTCTAGAATGAAAAATAATTCTTAACTTCTCTCTGGGAAAAAGATTGCGCACCGCTGCTCCAACGTTGATCGCTAAATTCCGATCTTTGCGACGTGTGTAAAGTCAGCTGGCAAAGAACAGCGGCCGGCAATTTTTCTCGCGCGACTTAGCGTTAAACGCGATAACTAACGGCGCCTTGTCGCGCGCCGATAATCGATGCTCTCATAGTCGACCCCACAGCGTGCACAGCCCCTTCCCCCTTCCCTTACGGGGATATCCCGAGACTTTGTTCTTAAAGTGCCGTGAATTTTTACGAAGCGATAGCTAAAAATTGATCACAAAGAAATATCCGACGGAGGGGGGCTGCATATCTTTTATCGATTCACGCACAGTATAACATTTGCACCTAATTGTCTTCTGTCTCGAAATCCCGCTCCGTGTCGCTGAATCGTTCGGATTGATCACACGTCCAACACCTCGAGACACGATGATCGTGATCGATGTCCCCCCCCGATGCGTGTGTGCGTGTGCGTGTGCGTGCTCGTCGATGCTTGTGTGTATATCTGCTCGTGTGTCGTCCCACACCGCTGCCCGCCCTCCTCTCCAACCACGACGACGACGATGACGATGACGACGACGACGACGACGACGACGACGACCATCGACAGTGGCTGAACGAAAACGGACGTCCTCAGCACGCTAGGATGGAGTCCCTGCGCAGCGGCATCCGGCAGGCCCGCGTGCTCAGCCTCTCCTACCGGCCGGAGGACAGTGTAAGGATACCGACGATCAGCAGCAACAGCAGCACGAAAAGCTCCGAGCTAGCCGCTAGCGGTACGAGGCGGCCACGTCCGTCGGCGCCGGACGGCTCGACCGACCGTTCGATCGATCTGTCGGCCGGGTCGCGCTCGCACCGGTCCAAGACTCCGGTCCAGGACCGGTCCAAGGCGTCCCTCGTCGCGCCGGTGATCGAGCCGAGCGATCGATCGGCCAGCGACGCCGCGGACGGTCGCATCATCCGGCCCCTGGACCGCGTCGCTGATTCTTGCTACTGGCAGCACGCCGCCGGCATGCTAGACGGACGATCCAAGAGCTTCGTGTTGCCGGATCGCTGCCCGGCGCGCCGATCGCATCCGATCGGGATCGAGCGGCCGGCGATGTCGCCGCTTCCGGTCGCCGTTGTGGTCACGCCGGGCTCGATCGGCAACAGCGGCATCCAGCAGCAGCAGCATCGCCATCATGGTCATCATCATGAGCCTCAGTATCATCATCATCATCATCATCATCATCAGCATCATCAGCATCATCAGCATCGGCATCATCAACTGCCATCCCATCAGCAAAATCAAGAGCCGCAGCAACGTCCGCCGCTCTCTTCTTCTTCTACTTCTTCTTCTTTTTCCAGCACCGATCATATCATGCTACCATCACCGACCGCACCCTCCGTTATCACGCAGCCGGCCGCTTCACGGGTTAGAATGGCTGCCACATCGTCGACAAGTAGAGTGCACGATGACGTTGTCCTCTATCTGTCTATCTGTCTGCTTCCTGTCTGATCATCGAGCCGCTTTTTTTTTCAACTCTCTTTCTTATCGTTCTCTTCTTCACACTTGCCTGTTTACACTGAGATCTGTATGTCGTTACTTTGTACCTTTCGCAGAAGACACAAGTTGAGAAATTGAGAAAAGACGTTCAATTTTTAGCGTTAGCGCTTTCCATACAATATTTCCAAGGCACTGGAGAATATTTTAATGCGGCATGAGCGAATCTTTTGTTAAAAGCGAATTCGATGCAAATATTACGATCCATTCTTTAATTTTTAATACTTTAATTGATATACAATTTTAATATTGCTGTATTATTAGTGTGTAGTGACATCATTTTTTTCAATTTATAGGATTATTCGTATTTCACGAACACAATCCTGCATCAAGCGGCTGTCGATGCACTTATCGATCTTCCCCACATTGCGATCGTACACATACTTGTCTCCACCTTCATCTCTCATTCCTTTGAATGATATCTCATTAGCTTGATCCCTGGCGTGCATCCCCTTCAACGTGGCTTAGCATTACACGATTGCGGCATGATATGCTCGATGTATTGCTCGACACCGGACTCTCGAATCCGACAGTTGTATTTCCCGCATACGAATTATCTATGCCGTGTAGCAGATGCGTAGCATGTTTTGTAGATGATAAGTGGCGATGGCGCGCGAGGATTGTCGTGATAACAGTGATGGTAACGATGCTTCCCTTTTTACAGCCCTTCGATCAGCGCAGCAACGCACGAATCGCAGCAAAGCCGTATATAACACAGTGAGTACCACTTCAAGTACTAATTGATCTACAACCAATTGAAATTCTACTTGTAACTTTTAGACAAATTTTATCAATATGTAAATTTTTTTGTTATTATATTATTTATGACTCTTAATTTTTAGGACAAAATTATTTATTATTATTTATACGTAATAATTTTGAGATAAATATTTGTTTTATAAAAACAGAATTTATATTTTTTATTATATTATTTATGACTCTTAATTTTTAAGATAAAATTATTTATTATTATTTATACGTAATAATTTTGAGATAAATATTTGTTTTATAAAAACAGAATTTATATTTTTTATTAATTCTAATATGTTGAGTCTCATTAGTTTTATCATATTAATGCTATTATTTGCATTTTGTTATGTACTTAGATTTATTAATCAATTAACAATTAAATAAACTAAAAACAATATTAATATATTACATATTGAGATGACTATTAGGAAGTTGATACAGATGTACGATTTATTTTCAGTAACTTCTTTATGATTACACTGTATTAAATCCATAATTAATTAATTATCAAAGTAAATCACCAAAAATAACACTAACTCTCGTGAACGTTCTTCGATTGCAAAGTGCTCTGAAAGAATCCGGTTACGAGAGCGATTCGACGCTGGTGTTCCGTCGCAGAGAAGATATTAGTCCGCTCAGCCTCCTCGAGCAAAGACTGGCGTACAAAACGGTGCAAAGCGGTGGCGACGTGCCCCTCCATGGGCTTCGCAAACCGGCTCCGGAACGTCCGAAGGGTGAGTCAATCTACAATCCTTGAGCTATGCGTTTTTTTAATTTTTTACTCTTTATTCATTTTATTATGCTACCCTTTCGACTTAATCAGCACGCTGATCAACATCGGCCGTGTAACCCAAGTTTACTCTCGCATGCGGGTGTATGTTTTGAAGTCGCTTGCCATGTGTGTGTTTTATTAATTATTATTGTGTGTTTTATCATTCACGCATGCGTTCCGAAACTTCGAGTGATGAAATAAATGATTTCACGATGCTTTGTTCCTATCGGAAGAATTTAGTATTTATTGAATTGTAATTATTTTCTTACAACATCCTCGATGTTTCGCCAGATTAGACGCGTCGACGAGAGTCGAGACGACTCCTCTTCGGCGATTTTGAATTCGCGGCGCTTGCTGTCGAAAAGCGCGAGGCATGAACGTGTGAGTAGCGCGCCGTCTGACACGCACAGCTTGACATGTACGAACTTCCGCCCACGTGTATTCTTCCGGGTTGAGCGGGTTGCATCAACGTCGGTTAATTAATCGCGATTAATTAGGCTGAGGGGGGTCGGCGCGAGATAACGAATGCGCCCGATAACGGGCATTGTGGCGCTTCTCGACGATAAACTTATATACGAGCGCTTCTCGACGTATCGATTAATTAATCAGTCAGCGACGCTCGCTGTCACATATCGACCTCCGTCAGCCTAAACTTTCCTTTTAGCCGGGGCTATGATCCAAGCCGGAGACAGGTAATCGATAATTACTGCTAGTTAACCAGCGGAGCGTTGGTGCAATCCGAGCCTCGGGCGAGTTTTCCACCTTGAATTTAAATCTGGCACAGCTCTCCCTCTCGACGTAGTCTATCGATATTGGTGCGCGAGCCGGTTCTTCCGCGTTAAGCTCTTATTGCAAATCCCCTCTAAGCAAGCACATCGGCAAGCCGCCACAGTAACATCACGACGACGGAGCCCGCGAAAACTTTGCAACGGCACGCAGTCGCGCCGGCGGAAGCACGGCGCGGCCACCAGCTTAGCCTTTTTTGAGCGAGACAACTTTTTGACAACTTTTTCTAGACGGTGGCAGGGTATAGAAACACGCAAAAAAAAAAGGGTTCACAGTTGTCCGCAACAGCAGCGAAACGACCAAATCCTCGAAACTTTGTTTCCACAGACGACTCGGAGATCGAGTATTTTCCGATCTCGCCGACGTTGACGAGGATCCGCGTGCATCGGAGAAGCGCCTCGACGATTTCCTCGAAGACGGCGCGGTCGTCGGTCGATACGAGATCGCCCACGGTTATGAGAGCCGCTCAGGGCTCGCCCGGAAGAGCCGTCACGCAGACTATGTCGGCGCCGCGGCCGCCCTCGCCGCCCCGAAGAAAGTCTTCGCGCCACAGCCGAACTCTGAAGCTGTACTCGCGAAGTTACACGCGGCTGATCGATAGCTCGCACACCGCCTCGTCGAAACCCAGGCACGAACAGTGCTTCGCGCACGCCGACGGTGCGTCATCGAGCATCCGATCGCTGCGGGAAAGGTTTTGCAGCAACCTTGAGCGGCATCGGCGAAGTCGCGAGCAGTTTCACAGCGCGATCACGCGCACCTCTTCCAGCAGTCCGGTCACCCCGAAGACCGCCCGGGCGTCCAGCCTGTTCTCCAACACTTTCGGCAAGAGAAAGTCGGACCCGTGCCTCTCGCAGACGCAATTCGAAGCGAGCAAGAAGCCCAACTTCCTCAGCGGCGCGAAAACCCACACGCTTTGCTCATCCGCGTCTTCTTCGGCGAGGATCGAGAAACTTCCGCTGGTAAAAGTGCCATCGAGACAAGTTCCCGTCACCAAGGAAGGACAGCGATCTGCAGAAAGGAGCCAAATTTCGACGAGATCGGAATTTTTATTAAAAAAGGAGAAACCTCGATTGACGAAAAAGGAACAGGAGCAATCCTGCAGAAGGCTAAGTAGATCACCGGCGGATCTTTCCTCGCCGCTGGAGGTTAGAAAAGCTCTGCAAAAGCAGAAAGAAAAGGAAGTGAGAGACGCGCAGACGAAAGTAATTCCGTCGGGGACGCCGAAGAGTTCGGTGACTGCCAGCAGACAGAAGCGTCCGGTGGATAAATCTCTCAAAGTTCCTTTATCCAAAGGACAGGAATTGTTGCGAAAAACGCGTTCTGAGCAGCCCGCTGTGAGAAAATCGTCAAGTACACAGCTGAAGACTTGCACGAAGAGCGCGTCGCCGCAGATCGCCTCTCAAACGACTCCTTCTGAACAGAAAAAAACGAAGATCGTCGCGAAGCCGTCGGAAAAACTGGTCGTCAGCAAGGAATCCCCGCGCTCGGTGTCTTCGTCCTGTTCCGAGATGAATGGCGAAGTGAACAAGCGAAAGCGACCTCGCGAGAAACCGCAGACGATCGTCAGAACGCCGACGAGGAGACCGGAAACGATTCGCGTCGGCGGCAGAGAGAAGACAGACGCGAGGAGGAAAACGCGGAAGGACAAAAGCGGCGACGAAGCAGACGCGAGCGGGTCCTTGAGCGGCTGGCGGGAAATAGCGGAGAAGCGAGAGATCAAGCTGCTGAGGAGGGTGGAAAAAAAGGTCTCGAGTGTCGGACAGGACTCGCCGAAGGATCGAATCGCTCCTCTGACCGTCGAGGAGATCAAACGGCATCAGGAAGCGACGCGCACAGACAGCTTTTTCCAAAATCTCTTTTCTGCGTGACCGTCCATCGTCCGCGCAACCCCACACGAGCGCGAAACGCTCGCTCGTCGGCGAGCGCGCCAAGATGTTTCAGGATGTTGCGCGCGAGAGCTTCCGGTCGGAGCCGTCGCTGAAATCGTTGAGCGTTTATCTAGCGCACAAACGACCGGTCTCGAACTCCAAGTTCAAGAGCTGGGAGCGCGAGAGCGTCGCCTCGTCGCGCAGCTCCAGCCCGTACGGCGTTTGCTGGCCCGGTCGATCTGCTCTGCGGAAGATCGGCAAGTTCGACAGTCTGCTGGGCATCGACGAGTTCGGATCGTCCACCACGCTGCGCGCTCGCAGCCCGGAACTGTCTCGCGAGCACGCGAAGGAACGCAGTCTGAGCGAGCCGCCGTTGAAGACGCTGCCGGAATCGAGAGAGTCCTCCCCGAGATCGTCGTCGCCTTCGCCGGCGAGATTGCGTCGGCAGACCCGCGTCGTCGACCGGGACGACACGGACGCCCCGAAGAAAGCGAGAGCGAGAAGCGCCGGCGAAGCGGAAGATGCTACAAAGTTGGGATCGAATCTATCGTTGACGAAGAGCACGGGCTCTTTATCGTCGATCGATCGCGAGGATTATCAGCAGTATATTCTCGAACTGCTGCATCACAGGCGGAAGTCGAAGCGATATAAGGATCTGCGCGACTTTTACGCGAGCCTCAGCAGGATGGACCAGCTGGAGCGCACGTTCTCGTCCGGCGATCTGCGACCGAGGCTGAAGAACGAAGAGATCATCGACTACGATCGCTGGAGGCAGGTGAGATCGAAGGAAAAGGCGGAGCAGGAGTTGAAAATGTTGTACGGAAAATTGAGAAATGTCCAGCGCGACAAGGATTTCCTCTTCAGCGCAAAGGATGTCGATAAATTCCGCTGGCACGGCGACTGCGGGCTGCGCTGCAAGGAACGCTCCGTGGAGGACATCCTGCAGTATTTCAGGAGACTTCAAAGCGAAGAGAGCGAAACTCGCAAGAAACCAAGCATCTCTTTGCAGAAAGACACTTACAAGCCTCTCTGGCGTGGCAGCTCGGTCGTCAACGTTGCGACGACGATGCAGAAAAAAGCTAACGCCGATTGGGACGCCGATCGGTCCGCCGATTATCATCCGTCGTTGCAGAGGAGCCTCGGCGGTAGCAAGAAATTCTGGAGCAGCCTGTCCATCGAACAGGTGACCAGCCTGAAGAAGCAGCTGAACGAAATCTACGGTAGCGACGGTCCTCAGAGATCGACTCCGCGGTCGAGCGGCGAAGTTATCGAAGCATCTCGCGGAAGCAACGAGGATCAGCGATCTGTGAAGGAAGACAGTGAGATAATTAAAGATGAAATGCTGGCGAGCTACGAAATTGTGGTCCCGCCTGAAGATGACTCGAGAGGACGTCTCCAGGACGATTCCAAGAGCCTCCATGTGCGCTGCCACTCGATGATCGCGACGAACGAGTCGAGCGCGACGCAGATCGAGGGAGTCATGAAGAAGAGCGATTCCATCGGTCGCCTGAAGAGCGTGGAAAGATCGGAGTCGGAGAAATCGGTGTCGCCGCCAATGTCGGAGCTGGAGAAGAAGAGACTGTCGTTGACCCTCGGCAGGGAAGTGTTGGACAAGATAACGCACAGAAGACAGTCCTCGCCTTTGGCGCCCCGGGAGACGCGCGGCAGCATCGCCGCCGCCCTCGCGACCGCGAAGATGCCGGCGAGGAGTGCAGCGTCGTCCACGAAGATCCCGGCGAAACCAGTCTACGCGTCGGACACGCTTAGCGTGGCCAGCACATCTCCGAGGACTTGTTATTCCCTCGAAGCGTCGTATATCGATGACTCGACCAAGTCCAAAGACAAGAGTGACTTTCTGCTGGTGTTAACGTCCAGTAACGAGAGCCCGAGAGACAAGCAGCGCGTAGAAACCGTCCTCGAGGAGTGGTCGAAGAAACCGCCTTTGCTGGCGATGGCGGTGCCGGAAGGTGTCGCCACTCCGGACAGCATGACAGAGAGCTCGGAAACTTCGGTGAGGACGGTGATTCAGCGGGGCGGCGGGCTCGAGGCGGAAGACGTATCACGGAAGATTGAGTTCTTTGAGAAACGCGGGGAGCAGCAGCAGCAGCAGCAGACGACACCGACGTTCCGCCGGAAGAAGCTGTCGTCGTCGCAGAGTTTTGCAGACCTGAAGGAGCTGTTTGGCGAGAGCGAGTCGGCGAGGTACGGCATGTTCGCCGGAAGGCTCGATCGGTCGCGCTCGACGTCACCGGGGGGAAAAACGATCGGTGATCGACGGAAGGAGAGCGACAGTCCGACGAGGCTGTCGGAAGCGACGGGCACGCGACAGCGGCAGCGGGAACGGTCGCAGCCGTTCCGCTCTTGTTCACAAGAGCGTGAACGCGACACGCGGCCGCCCAGCGTCAGTCCGTGTCGCGCGACCACGCGATCGAACTCGTCCTGCAGCGTGGACAGCGGCGGCCGACCGCGCAGTTTGTCGCCGGACCCCGAGAGGTACTGGCGCGCGTACCTGAGATTGGCGCGGAACGGCACGGTGCGCCGGCTGCGCGCGAGATTCGAGAGCGCCGAGGATCTACCGCGCCGCGTGAGACTCGCGCCGAAGCGCTTCCGCAGCGATCCCGAGCTGGCGCGGAGTCTGCTGAAGCGGGTGAGCGGCGAGAGGGAGGAAGGCGGCGAAATCCTGAAGGCGCGCGAGCACGCCGACGTGGCGTGGCTGCGCGGAAGATTCGAGGGAAGAGGACGAGCGCGGGGGCCGCGAAGAGGCGAGTCGCCGCCGATCCCGCGAGTGCCGCTGCGCCGGGAGAATCTGTCGATGCCGCGCATCGACGTCATCAGCAAGACCGTCGAGCTGAAGGAGCCGCAGGCCACCAGCACTATCACCAATCACGTGGTGAGACGCGCGGAGACGAAGGAACTCGAGGCGAGCAAGCCGGTCCACCGGATGCGGAAGAGATTCGAATCTCCGGACGCCGCCGGAGGCAGGCGTACGTCACTGATGGGCGAGATGTTCACCTCGGCGCCGGATGTGCGGGAGCTCCGCGACATCGCGCCCTACCTGGCCGGAAAATGGGTGGCCCATCGGTATCCGAGTCGTCGGGACAACATGCGCTCCTTGTCCTCGCCGGCCGATCTCGAGATCCACCGCGGCTCCGCCGCGAAGAAGGGTGACTCCTCGTTTCCCGGAAGCAGAAAGAAACCGGAACGACCACGCGCCACCTCGTCCTCACCGACGCGCCCGAGAACGCCCGCCTCGATCCTCAAGCCGTCCTCGCAGTCTTCGATCTTCGCCGGACAGCCCTTCGATCCCGACAAGCACAGACCGAGGTTCCGGTATCAACCGCCGCCCCCGCCGCCCGTCTCGCCAGTCGCTGCGCGAAAGCACAGGACCTGGTGGCCGACTCTACCCGTCTACACGGCACGACCGACCGTCACCTTCGAAGGTCTGAAATCCCGTCAGCTCTTAGAGCACCTGGGCCGGATCGGGTCTCTCTAAATTCCGAGAGCGAGAAGAAAGAAAATTCCTCAGCAAAAATTCCTCTCATTTTATCTTTTATTTCAAAGTAGATTTCTAATTTTCCGATTAAGGTAGAGTTTAAGCTAATCCATAATTGTTGTATCACCAATATCGTTAGATGTTTGAGAGGAGAGCGCGTGTCGAGTCGATCGATGTACGGTGACCAATCTCTTGTCGAATCCAGAGAGTTTATTTTTCTAGCTGTAGAACGGCTAATTATTATTTTAATTTTTTTCTCCGCTCATAGAATACTCGAATGCACCCCCGCCGCCGCCAAAATCCCAGCACTGCAGGGACGATCGTCAAGGTAATGCCGATTACAAGCTCATTACGTATACTACATATTACGTCTTACTCTCTTTCTCATGTTGTTTTTCACATTCGCGTTTGTGTGTGTACATACATATGCCTCTTTGCGTGGCGCAGTTCAATTGCTACCGTGTGTTTCGTAATATCTGGCATTGGTCTCTATAAACATCTCCAAATGTATTAACCAATCGGGAACAATCTTATCCAGAATCAACTAATTTTATTTCGTCGAATATTACATCGCTAACAAACAAACAACTGTAACAAAACAGAAAATTTTCTAAAGTTTAAACAGTTTCAACTTCTAACTTCGCAAAACTACGTAAGTAAACTTAAAGTTACATAACAAATTTTTGTTTTTAACGTATATTTTGTAAAATACAACAAATTCAAGATTAATTAATTCGACGTTGTTAAAGTTTGACGTGGACACTTGTCAGACACGCGTCGTGGTGATGCATAATGGTGCATGAGACTCGGAATGCATGAACGAGGCATACTCGTCCGAGAGCGATTGCGCAATCGTTTGCACGAGCGATCGAGCATGAGCGCAATAATCGCGCTCGGGAAGCATGCGATGTTCGTACGATGCGCTCATCTTCATTATTCCACGCACGTCATAAGTCGCGCTCGTTGCGTGCGAGCAGACGATGCGAGACGCGCCGAAAATAATATACACTTTCGCGAAATAGCGAAATCACTACCGCGATACAGGCGAATCACTCGCCGTGCAGTCACGATTAGAAATTTGATGTTAATCGCATCGTGCGCGAGGTTTGCTTTCTTGTGAATGTGCGAGAGCAGCACGAGAAATGTTAAAGTTGAATGTATCACGGCATGCTGTCAAGTAGACTTGTCAAATTATTTTTTACTTTGCGGAAAAATCCATGAAATTTGAGTTTGCTTTATTAGAAAGTATTTTAAGTTTTTACATTTATTTAAAATATCGATCAATACGATGATTAAATAACGGACAACGAAAAGAATTTGTCGGATTTTTTATTTTACAGAAATATAGAATATTTTACAGAAATATAGAATGCGATATTAAACTTTGCTTGTAAAATATTTCTAGCATATTTTACGTTCAGGATATTTAAAACCCATTAATTAATTATGTATTAAAAATGCATTTAATACAAAAATATATAATATAAAATACATAATATAAAAATGATTTTAACAGAATTATTTTATAAAAACGGAAACGAAGAGTAAATGACGAAACCACAGTAAAAGCGATGGCAACATTTGACGCCGACGAAAGAAAGACTGCGTGACATTTAGCGGTGTATTACAGGGCCGATCGATTCTATCCTGCCGATCAATTCGTATAATCGACGTGTTATCGCGCTCGTAAATTTCCTAGTTCGGAAATCAGTTTCGTCGGAATAATTGCGCCCATCAAGATGCGAGAGATAGCGATGATCCTAAATCATTTTATCGGTTCACGATGTCAAGGGCGTCCGCTAGAACACCGGTCGTGCATGCTAATTGTCTAACGGAAAAGTAACAGTGAACCGGCGGATGTTCAATTTACACGCGAGCGCGCTTTGGAGCATAGTTTGTACGATGGCAACGCGAAGGTATGCGATCGAAGACTTATTTGACGTCAAGCACTGTTTAATTATTTTAGGAAGGATGTTAAAATAATTTTTCTTCTTGTGAAATTCGATTTTTATTGAGAGAAATTTAATCGTAGCGTATTAAAAAATGTAACTCGAAAGCCGGGAAAGCCGGAGGATTTTTAATTTGACGCTAATTATCTCGATCATATCGTTTAACTTTAGCCCGTACATACTTATGCGCTATTACGCGCCGCTAAAATTGGATAAGTAGCAGTCACGATTATTTTCGACGATGACCGCGGCGCAACGAAGCAGTCGCGATGTTCGCGTACTTCGGTTGATATCGTGCGACAAATTTTCCGACGCTGCGTGCGATAATTCTTTTCGTTGCGTAATAGCGTATTAACGTGCCTTGTTATGATCTCGCGTGACCGGCTCGCGGTGTCTTTGGCGGTGAGATTAGCCTTGGCTTTGTCGACGAATGCGCGATTCGAAATATTCGCTGCGCGCAAAACTTCGCAGCGAAGCGCAAATAATGCACGTTGTCAATCGCTGCTTATCTTATCTCACGATGATTGATGGACGCGTATTTTTTTCCGCTCCTCGGCAGTTTTGTCGGCGATATCAGTGATGCCAGGTGGCAGAATCCGTAATTCTCCGCCAACATTTCTTCAAATCCGCGAAACTCTGTAAGCGAAGTAAAGCAAGTGTGGAGACAAGATCTTTGCGATGTCGCGAAGAGTGATTAGCGAAACAACAATGAAGTCTGTGTTGTTTTCATATCGCGAAGTTATATATAAGGTGTGACGTACAACAAGGCGGTTTTGTGCGCGGCCTTGAGCGCTTTTCAGTACGACGACCGTATTTTTATCTTTTCGGAAATAGCGTCGATGTTTCAGCAAACATCTCGTAAGCGCGTCTTTGCGAGACCACATTTTCTCACGTCTTTTTACGAATAATGTAACACTTTCGCATTTCTTTTAATTGGACGATTTAACGATTAATTCTGACGAATGAATCCCGTTTTCAGAACTATTTGATTCACGCGAGAGCACGTTGTCCGAGAACGTTCTTGGGGGTCTGTGCTTGGTGAACCGTTCTTCAAAGAGTAGGGAGCCGCGATAACCGGTGCCAACGTCGCGGCGCCTCCTCAGACGCGTTTCGCGTGCATTGCGCGACGCAGCTCCTAATGACAGGTGTTAAAAAGGTGCGCCGTTAGATCGCGAGTGCGAGGTGACGAGTGATGACCGGATATCCCGACGAAGCGCGTTCAGGATTGGAATTTCGCGCCGCGACTCTCTTAACGACGTAGATTCTCCTCGAAGACGCGCGCTCGATAAATTCATCGCGGCTATCTTACGGAGTTATCAGTGGCGATAATCTTACGGTGATTTAACCGCGAGTTCGCGAAGGTGCGAGTATTGTTTGACTTGCGCGATTATATCAAACTCTGCGAATTCCGTGCGAGCCGATCGTACGTCTGTGTTTCGTGCAAGGTTAACGCGTCTGATATTGCTGGACTTTTTTAACGTGAGTTTACGATACACTTTGGACTTTGCAAACGACACGTTTACCTGCGCTTGAATAAGCTGCCGAGAAATTGAAATGCAAATAGCTTATTTTAAATTAAAAACAGTCACGTCTCATAAAATTAATCATATAACAAGACTTATCATAAATTAAATTAAATTAAAATGTCGCGTGTTTGATAAAATTATTTGTACGATGAAAGTAATTTTATAGTTGACAGAAAATAGTTGAACGGAGCAATGAAATGAAAATTAATCGCTTTCAATGAAACTTTTGTTCTTCTTCAAATGAAAAAGATGATGCAATACCATCTTCTGATTTAATTATCTGATATTCAACTTCTCGTCTGATAAAATTAAGTATACAATAAAAATTTTCAAAAAATAATTAAACGGAACGATGAAATAAAAATAAATTACTCGCAATGAAATTTTCATTCTTTTTACCTGCGATATTATCTGATATTCAGTTTTTTATCCGCGTCTGATAAAATTATTTATTTAATAGAAATGATTAAAAAATTTGCAGTTGAGTAGAGCAGTAAAATGGAAATAAATAATTCTTAATGAAATTTTCCTTCTTGAAGAAAAAAAGTGACGCGATACTACGAATTTAATCATTTGTACATATTCGACTTTTCATCCGCATCTGATAGAATTAACGGTGTAATCAGAGCGATTCTAAAATTTGGAGAAAATAGTTAAACGGGACAGTGAAATGAAAATAAGTCGCTCTTAATGAAACTTTCGTTCTTGAAATGAAAAAAAAAAAAGCGACGCGATAGCGCCTTCCTCGTGAACACGTTGATCCACATTGCGCAGGAAACTCGCCTCATTTGAATAGAATAGCCATGAGAGTGCAAGTAGCACCTTTCTCAGGGAAAGATCTCGCTCATCGTTACAACAAACAAACACACTTCATTAAGATACTTAAGACTCTTCTGAGGGGACCTTGTTAATGAGGAGAACCTTCTCCCGATGAGTATTCTTTTTTCCAGCGCGCGTTTTCCTTGAATGGCGCATTCTTCGCGACATTTTTTTCCATAGTGCCACGACTGCGTGAAAGTTGCACGAGCGCTCACGTTCATCTTCATTAATTATGAAGTCGGTTAATGAATCAATGCCATTAAGTCATCTGAAGTAACGCAATTTGTCCGCAAGACTGACCAATGTTATCATTTTTGTTGCAATTCTTTTCGTTTGAATTTTTTTTCTTCAAGATAATGATTTGAGAGACGCTTGCAATTGTGTAGGCCACTCTGCGTATCGATGTTGTACGCAATATTTCGCGGACGCGAAAATACGTATTAGCACAGCGAGAAACGTGACACGGAACGTGACGCGATCGTTTCAGCCTCGATAGCCGACGTTGCAACTTCGTGCCGCGCATTCACTCGCGTTCGAGTCACCGTTACAATGACACGGCTCTTTAATGCCCAAACTGATGCGGTAGGTCGGACGTGACATCGGCGCGTTTAAATAAACCCTCGCGAGAGTCGCCGGCGACAATAATAAATCGAGTTCTTCGATACCTCGCGAAGCCAGAAGTCCATTTGCTTAACGGAGAATCGCGCTTTCCATTCCCGCTTGCGTGTTATCGCGCAATTAATTCCGCGAGGATCATAATCGAGAATTAGATTTTGAGCAATATCCGGCGCGGTGAGATCGTCCTCGATTTTATCCCTCGGAAATCCGACGATTAATAAACGTCTTCTCGTTTCAACCGTGATAAGCGAAGAAAAATTGCAGGAAGACACTCATCGAATTTCACATGGTGCGAAAATTCGAATAATCTTTAAGTTTCCTCAGAGAGAAATCCGACAATTAATCTTTTATTTCGATATTTTCGCGCGATAACAAAGCACAAACTCAATCAAGAAAAATGATAGGAAAATACTTAT